ACCCCCACACCCCCACGCCCCCCTCCTTCACACCTGGTCAGCATCAACCTGTCCCAGAAAAAGGAAATTTATTGGTTAAGAACTTTTTCTCACTGACTGTTATTTCTCTTCCACCCAGCTCTCAGTCATTTTTGTAAGTGCATTTCTAATTTCCTGCTCATAATCTTTTCAATGCTAACCGTTCTCCCACAAATTTCAAAGACCATAAAAGACTATTTTCTGGAAAATTTAAGTTTGATCCCCGAGACACAAAACTAAAAAAAGCAGAGGGGTGCGTAAGTGAGGCGGGGTAGGGAGATAGACAGACAAGCAGGGGTTTGCGGGAGGGCAAAGGCCACGTAGACCACAATGAATGAATGAAAATCTCTGAGGGTAAATTGACTTAAGCAACTTGGTCAGGCAAGCTAGTCAAAGAACAAGAGCAGATGCCAGTGGTTGCAGATTCCAAAGAATCTCTTCCCCAAACTTTCCTCCATCTGCTTGTGAAGCCAACACCAAGGTGACTGCACTGTCTTCTAGAGCAGGGGCTCCCAACCCCAGGGCCACGGACTGGTACTTGTCCATGGCCTGTTAGAAACTGGGCTGCACAGCAGGAGGTGAGCAGCAGGCAAGTGAAGCTTCATCTATATTTGCCACAGCTCCCCAGTGCCAGCATCACAGCCTCGGTTTCACCTCAGATCATCAGGCATTAGATTCTCATAGGAGCACCGGTCCCTGGTGCCAAAATGGTTGGGGACCAACGAAATTCGATTTTCGTTTGTCGCAAATGGTAAACGTCATTTTTTTAATATTCCAATTCCCTACAGAAAACAGAGGGTCCAGTCCTCCTCATTCCTCATTTATTTCCTGGAAAACTCAGGAATGCTAACAGGGATTTCTCTCAGGAAGTAAATTATAACCATTTGCCAATATTTGAGTGTTTACTACTAACACAACATTTATTGAATCCTACTGTGTTTTTTAATCTATAGCAACTCAACTGATTTAAACCTCAACATCCTCTGGGCCTGGCCAACGATGCATCCCTATCTTACAGATAGAACAACTGAGGCTCAGGTAACTAGCTTATATATGGGTGAGAGTATGAATATTGATCTAGATTTGATTTCAAAGCCCAAGCCCCTTTAGTCTATTGCCTCAGACGAATAACATGACCTGACAAATAACAATCTTTTAACAATATTTAGGGCACCCAACTAACTTATTGTGAATGAGCAACTAAGGTCTTGATTAGCTAAAAGGCCCCTGGATTGCATTTAGTCCTCCTAGCAACTCTACTGGGTAGGTGTGTTCTTGTACCCATTTTACAGATGGGAACAAGAATCTCGAGAAAGGAGTAGAGGTTCTGTCTATGGCTTTAAAGAACAGGATGTGGCAGCCTTATGGGCAGGTTCCCTCTGCATTTACCAGGCCACTTGAGTCACGACCAGACCCATCCTTACACCTGCACTGGGCTTTTTATCTGCGGGAGGGACAAACTCTGTCCTGAGATAATGGCAGATGTGAAAGTGTTCTAAAAAGCACTAACCACCAAGGTGCCAAGTAAATGACTGGATCTCCCAGAACCTCAGTTCCATCAGCTGCTAAAGGGGCCCAGTGAACAACAGCCCCCACAAGAGAGACAAGTCCACCCATCGCTTTACAAAGAGTGTGGTCTGCAAAATGAGGAATTCTGCACTCCTCCAGCAACGCCGATCTACCAATAAACTGAAAAATCACCCTGAATTCATTTTCTTAAAAATCGTTCAACACGAGGGCATGCCTGAGCTGAGGTCCTGTACCTATCAAAGGCTGGGGGGAGGGGGCACTTGCCACCGGGTAGGACCCAGGAGTTTCAGATTTAGCAAGGACCATCTCAGATAAAATTGGCAAAGGTGTCTGAGCCTGGAGGCGGGACAGCTGGCATGAGAGCTGGTCTGAGACAAAGGACTCAATCCCAAGGTAAGTTTTCCGGGAAGGAGAACTTGCCCAACCCCGCCCCCATCGGAAGCAAGTCCCTGGAGCTGCAATAATGAGGGGCAACAGGCACTTTTGGGTCAGGCCCCACGTGGCTGGAGGAAGTCAAGAAAGGGAAGCAGACTCCCCCAACCCTACCTCCTGGCTCCTCCCCTTAGCCCCCTGCAGCTCCCAGATGCTCTTCCCTCCCCCTGCCCCACTTCTTCCAACATTTGCAAGGGGTGGGGGTTATGCTTATGGCTTCAAGGAGCAGAATGTAGCCAGCCCCAGCTCCAGCCCTGGCCCCTTTGTCTCAGCCCTCTCCACCCCAAAGGGGAAAGGTATGCTGCCTAGCTCTGAAATTAGGATGCAAGGTAGGCCCCAAGGTTGAGGGTAGGTAGTAAAAATGGCCTGACCCATAAAAGAAAATCATGGCTCCTTTCAAAAAGGAACAAAGGCACTCCTTCCTGCCAACTCCCAAATCCAGGACAATGATTTGGAAAAATTTTCATAGCTGAGAGGAATTGTACCTTGGTAGAGGAAGGCAGGAAAGGAGGGGCTGGCAGGGGTACTTCCCTTCATCCCTAAGTCTCATTAATGGCTATACCCTAAAAGGAGGGGCTACTGGTTAATACAGATGTCAACATTCATCACCTCTATGCCAAGCGCTATCCCATGAGTCCTTACTTGAGCTTCATGTGATAGAGGCTACCACACGTCTAGATACCTGAAGATCAAGGGTTAGAGGTTAAATCATGCACAAACTGGTTTTATTCTTACACAATCTGGGGGCATTAAGATTGTTTCCATTTCTCAGATGTAATAAGTAAGACACAGAAGGTAATGGACTTAAGAGCGACAAATTTAAATACAGGCCAAAAACCCATTCATCCCCCTAAAGAGGGAAGCTTGCTTAGTCCAAGTGCCAGATAATGGTGCCAACAACAGCAAACTTTTATTGAGAGATTACTGTATGCCATCCCTATAAAATAGGGATAAAATATAAAATAGCTCAACTCTGGAAAAATCAAGTCTTCACCTGGAGAGTCCAATGGCCTTTATGCAAGCAACAGCGGGCCTCCTGGAGGACAGAGGCAGGTCAGCCTCCTGGGCCCTTTAAGTGAGGGCTCCAGCAGGGATCTGTCTCCCAAAAACAATTGCTACCAGTTGGCCAAAACCCACGGCATCCAGAAATCAGGAGTTTCAAAGTTTATACTCTGTCTTTAATTCTATTTAATTCATGCACTCCTCTGGGCTTGGCGGAATGGAAAAGGGAGACGCGGTGGGGGACCGGGAGCGGGGAGCCGGCGGGGGCGGGGGGCGGGTAGGGAAGCACAATGGTCCAGCCCGCCTGTCTCTCAGCCCAGGGGTAAAGGAAGGAGGCAGGCTGGAAGCACAGGCCTGCGGCTGGGCCCGGGCCCAGAACTCCTGCAGCCCTTCTCTGCCACAGGTGAGTGACTCCAGCAGGAAGAGCCGGGCCCAAGAGCAGCTCCTTGTTGCTAACTTGCTAAGTCCGCCCGCTGTCTTCTTTCCCGGCTTCCACTTTTTCCCGGTGAAGTGGGACTCGACAGCCACCCTGCCTCGCCAATCACACGGGCAAGGAAGCCTGTCTTGCAGGAGGTGGTGCTAACAGTTCTGAGGCCTCAACTTGCGAGTTTGGGAAGTGGGACCAGCCTCACCCCGGAAGAGGGGAAAAATGGAAAGTGAGCCCCCAGGGCAGGCAGAGTGGCGGGGCAGGGAGGCGCCGCCCCCGAGCCGGCTCCTCCTAGCCAGGTGTGCACTGGGAGAGGGCAGCCCCTCCCGAGGGCATCTCGGCAGCCCCACTGCGCCTCGCGCCTAGGTTGTGGTGCTTCATCTAAGAAGGACACCAGGAGCCCGCCCCTCTGGCGCACGTCCCCGACAGGCGCTCACACCCTGACCCACCTGCTCGCCCGCACCCAAACCCACTAGTTTTTTATCCGAGAGGAAAAAACAGTTCTCTCAGCTGAATCCCCAGCTCCAAATCAGAAGGGACAGACGCCGGATGCCCACCTCCTTGGCAGAACTCTCTTCCATTCCGCCTCCCTGCCCAAGGAGGCTTCCTCTCAAATTGAGGCCAGGTAAGGACACCCCCTTCCCATGAGCTCCCCTTATACTCCAATCGTTTCTAGACCCCCGAGAAGGCCGCCCGGTGTTCCTCCCTGGGGACGAACCTCTCCTGCTTGGGTTCTTGAAGTACAGTAAGGGTAGCCTTCTTACTAATATTTCTCCTAGACATATGCCCGCTACCCCTTTTATCCTTCTTGCACGCTTCCTCCAAGTAGAGTCAAAGGACCTCTCCTCCCCTTGCGTGCCTGGTCTCCAGCCGGATGGGAGCCGCCTCCCCAGGAGGTGCCCAGGACAGGGTAGGGTCCCTCCTTGCAGTCCCGGCACTGCTCCGCTGTCCCCCTCCCCCACCAGTCCACCCCCCGCCACCGCAAAGCCCTATGACCCGCGAGCCTCCCCTGGACCACCAGGCGCTCTCACCTGCCGAGAGCCTGGCTCGGGCTCGGCTCCGCGGTA